TGTATTATGTCCTTTAATAGGCTTTTGCAAATACAATTCTCACTTATAGTTGCCCACCACTGTGTCCGCATACCTGACATGCCGGCCCACATTGTCCGCTATCCGACATAATCAGATTGCCTACCTAGATGACTAAGTTAAACGTGAATCGATTTCCACTGGACGTGACAGAGGCCTTCATTTCCGACGGAGCAAGTTACACCGAGAGACCAATGCAGGCCCATATTGTAGGCTATGTGACTCAGTCGGATGGCTTACTTAGATGTCTGAACTTTATTTTAATCGATTTTCACCTTGACGTGACTGACCTGCTAGACACACAAATACGGTGCTCCGACTCAAGCTTTTGGTTTCGCGTATTAAAAACCACACTGGATGTATCGAGCCGGTTTAACCGCTAATTTCTAGAGCCCCCAACTCGACATTCAAACGTTCCCGCCTTCGAAACGACACCTACAAACGCGATTTTTATAGTTTCAACTACTCAGTCTCCGCAATCGGTACCCACTTTTAGCTAACACGGGGGTCTGGGGGGTCTCCCCCAGCGACGCTCAGAGAGCTTGTATATAAATAATATACTTAATGATTTATAATTCATAATTTGTACTCTAATAAACGTATGGGGTGAATCCGTTTGGTGAAGACATATTTTGGTGTAAAAATAATAAAAGTATTTAAATATACTATTTTAAATATTATTAAGCAATCGATATTCCTAAACGAATACATCATCATATAACTGTGAAAACAACAGGAAGTCATCAAAATTCCCAGACGAACGCTCACTAAAAAAACATGTCCATATTTGGGCATAAACGAAATAAATCGATAATAAGATATCGAGCAACAACACGTTATGACGTAATCACTAATCAACATTCCACAGCTCAAAATGTTCACATACATGGACCAAAATTACGCATTAAGTGCTTAACAAATCATAATATCAATTACCTTTTCAATTTACTATTATTTTTACACAAGCTAAAATACACAACCCACTCCTGTGCAAAAATACAATATCATCTCAAACAATAAAACACCAAATATCTAAATATTGTACCAACAAAGAAAAATTATACCGCTGACAAGTTATAACACATATAACTTCATCAAAAGGCAACTTACAAGAATCAATATACATTACAATATGTACAAAGACACAATGACGGACATACAATTCTATTTCAATAACAGTACGTACGACCAAAACACATAATCCATGCACATGCATAGTAATACAATGCTCGTGTATAATATCACCCCTCAAAATGTCACGTGAGGGAAGAAAAATGACAACACCACAAGAGCATATTATGTCCTAGCAAAACGTACCCCTGCAAATAATGCAAATAATGTAAAAGCAAAACAAAAACAAACGTACTTGAATGCATGGTTCACGTGGCAAACGCGAACAGTTAATTGTAACGTGATGCGACAACAATTAAGTAGGGATAAAACAATCGACTTCCTTTATATACACAACGTATAAACAACGATCACGGCTCATTCTTGCTCTACTCTTTCTGCTCATCGGATCTAGGCCACAGCAATCATACGATGCACTTTGTTGGCGCAGTGTATCGCTACAATCAACAGGGCACACCATGTTCACGGAGCTCATCACAAAATACACGGATTTATTTCAATCTAAATTCAATCTTTCTTTCTTTACAAAGTTAATTAAATTATTGCGTTTATTCTGACACCAGGTGTGAATTTACCTTAACATATTCTCCCTATTATTCAATCATAAAATCCTCAAATATATATGCAAAAACCAATAATATAAAATAAATATAGTAGGTGCCGCTTGACGGTTCACTGTCTACTTCAGGCATTGAACTATCAAAGGATATTTGCAGTTCTATATTTTCGAGCATAGGAGCGTGCGGGAGATAATTCTGCAGTCAATTCCTTCCCTCTAAAGAAAATCGAACCTCAAATATATAGGCAAATCGAAGTCCAACATTAAAACGAAACACCCATTTATAGTAATAAACAAATAAACAATCATAAAGGTGTCATAACACCCATATAAGCACACTGTGCAACCATAACATAGTGACTAATCTCATTCCTTAATCCTAATCTATTCACAGTCTCAAGGTTTTCTAAGTGTTGTCAAATTACCAACACTTATTAGTTATTGTCTCCAACGACGAATACTAAGAATAAACACACTACATTAAAGAGATGTATATTAAATTACAATAGGTCATAGTAATATTAAGTCGTAAAGTAATAATAACGCACATCGACCCACACCGGAGACGTTACTATTGCAGCGAGGGTCTAAATACATCACCCACATTCACACAAGGTAAGTGGATTTAAAATTTCACATTAAAAGACAAGTTAATAAATTAAGAAGTAAATCAAATATTAATATTAAGTAGTAGTATAATCACAGAATAACCAGAAGGCTCACTTTTTTCGATTTACACGGGTTCTTATGGGGGATAGATTTGCAACACCTGTTGGGATATCAGTGTAGCCTGTATAGAGATAATAAAAAATTGTACAACCCCAGAATAATCCATGTTACCGTAATAAACTTGTTGATACAATAAATATTGTGTATAATTTTATTGTACATATTATAATAATAATTAACAATCTTTTCAGTAAAACTAAAAAAAAAGTTGAACTTTAGCTTTTAAGTTTAACTAAAAAAGTTGAACTTTAACTTTTAAGTAGTAAAACATGAACTGTTAGTAGTCACATAAATGTAATTTATTTTGTCATGGTAAATCATTAATTACAGAATGTGTATGTCGTAGGTTCACAATGTTAATTTAAATTTTTTTTAATACATAATACTAAAAATACAATATCTTGTAATAATAGTCTCTTACAATATCTAATAGTTATTTACAAATGTTTCAAAATAGATAGTTTTCTATTTTTTCTTTTTGCTGTCCACTTTTTGACCTATCTTTGTTTACAATATTATTCTTAACTAGAAGGTAGACTGATGGCGGTAAATATTGTTCACACATTTTCATACAATGTTCAATAGTTGTAGTCTGCTCTAGTTGTTGTTCTAGTTCCTTAATTGAACACAAAGCATTGGAAAGTCGTAATACGTATCTACTGATGTACAACTCGAAACTGATGTAGTATTAAGAGTAGATGTCACTAAAAATAAAATTATAGTGGATTAAAATAATAAGTTAATAAATGAACTAAAAGTTATCATATCTAACAATAAAATGTATTTATAATCAACATACCAGGAGTTGAACATCTAGGCAGATTGTCAATTATAACATTTTCTGTTTGAATGTTATCATCCAAAGATTCAGATGGAATATCAACATGATCTGATGTCTCTTCTGTAACGACACAATCATCTAAAAGAACAAAATATTGTTTTACAATACAAATAAAGATATATTTACCCCTTATTTATTTACTTACTTTTAAATAATGTTGGTATTGCTGTATTTAATAATCTGGTTTTTTCAACATTCAAGTACATTTAATTTTCAAAATGAAGTGAACACAATCTGTGATTCCTATTCAGAATATCAGGGTCAATAGTTGGTAAATTAATTGGTTTACACTTTTCAATCCAGACGGCACATCTATAATAATTAAAACTATTATAAGAGGGTACTAAAAAAATTATTTGTAATGCATGATAGAAAATAAACATCAATGAATTTGATGGACATTTCTCATTAACACATACACTATATAATGACTAAATATAATTAAGTTGCAAGGTTGGAACATTTTTGGTATTTCTTACCTTGCTTGATCCTTTGGAAATCTATGAAACCTTGTTTCAATTTGATTTTTCCCAAAGAAAATACTGCTACAATTCGCCAAACAACATGAATGGCCGCCCGAAAACATTGTAGTAAAACACTTACAATTTACAATTATTAAAAAACTAAAAATGTTAAACACAATTTCTGAACTTAGAATAAAAAACAAATTGTGCAATGTGCAACAGAAATTTCAAATTCAAGGAACAAAGTAACTAACATGAAACAAATGTTGTATATCAATAAATTATCAGTGAAAAATAAAATATTTATAATGATAACATAAAAAATGCGCAGACTCAGTTTCCGCAGCAAAAGAAAATTTGTTATTATTTTTGAATCCTGGCTACACTGATATCACAAAAAGTTTTCACGGATTTTGAAGTTAGATTATACTCATATTTAATTCGATCATTACGATCTTGCACGTTGCATTGATCACAAGTGTCTTGTTTATTTCCGATCATTTGAAATAATTTAATTGTGAACCATGTTGCGTAACAAAGTTTTGAGTAATCTTCTATTAGAAGAAATAGAAGACGAAGAAATCATTATTGATCAAGTCATGACGAAAGAAGTTCATGATATGTTTCAATCCAGAAAAGAAGAAGGATTTTTTAGGATTTTAATTGAAAAACATTTGTTTAGCGATGAAAAAAAATTCAGAGAATTTTTTAGATTAAGTTGGGAACAATTTAACTATGTTCTAAACTTAATTGAAGACGACATAAAATCAAATCGCACCAACAGAGTGAGAGAGCCTATTTCACCGGCGGAGAAATTAGCTGTAACTTTAAGGTAAGCTTTTTTTGTTCAAATATGAAACAGCCACATGATTAACACATAACTTTTATACGTTTTTACGTAAATATTTTAATTATTCATATAAAATAACGAAATCAGCAAATTCTATAACTCTATAAGTGCTATATTATAGCAGCTATAATATTAGTTTTAAATGTATTGAAATATAATACATGTTCTAAAAAAGAGAGTTTATGAATAACAGTCTCACACTCTCGCTAATCACTATTATAAAATATAACCATCGATTGATTCTAAATACTAATGATTAATGATGGAGGAAAATAACTTATAAAAATAACAAAACCTTGTCACAATGAAAATAAAAATAATAACATTACTGTAATTTAGCTAGTACCTATAGCATTTTCAAAATAAAAAAAACAAATTTATAAATAAATAAAAAACACTTCTGTTGAAACATAAAAACTAGGATAATATTGCTCCAATGATTATAATGATTAATTATTATGAAAATTTTCTGTCCATCTTGATTCTGAAGAACTTCCATCAAGTTCAGAGGAGTGTGTTGAATAGGATGTATAATTTATTGGTTCTAATGCTTGCGGCCTGAAAGTTATATTTTCTGGAAACACATAATTAGAAGTGCTGCCAGTTTGATCCAAAGATTTAAGATTCTGAAGTTCCAATTCATTTATAACTTTGAGTACATCCATTTTTGCTTTTATTTTGAGTTCTGGCGAAAAATTTTTGACTGCAAGCGCTATACTTTTGAAAAAAACATCGATGGAGTCCTCTGCTTCTTCTGTTTTTGTAAGCTCTTGCATTAACCGATTTCTTTTTTCGCTTCTTTTATTTAAAATGTCGACCAGTTCCGTTTTTTTTTATCGTTTTAGACTAGTTGATTGTTTCTCCGACTTCTCTGCTACCGCTATTGGCTCAAGAGTTGATATTGATGATACATTATGAATTTCAGGCTCCATTTGTGTGATAACACTATTATCATTTGAACTTATGTGATCTTCCTCAATTATTGTATCTTCGTGAGACACATTTTTTACGCTCCTATTCAGTATCATAATGATAACATTATTAGTATTTAAATTACATTTTTTATACATCAAAAAATAAAAATGTATCATATATTATTACTGTCTCTCATTTATTGCTGTATCCATAAAAGATAAAGCATCCTCAAGAATCCATTTTGATGGTTTTTCTTTCGTAGCAGACCCAGTACCCAACTTTCTACCTCTCCTTTTTTTATTGTATGTGTCTTTAATATTTTTCCAGCGCTTTTTACAATCGTCAACTGCATCAATATAATTAAGTAATACTTATTAAAATGTAATGATATAAATAAAATAAAATTGTAACAATTGATATACAGTAGCTAAACTTGTTGAAAAAATATTGACAGAATATATTAATATTAATACACAAATATTAAATTAATGATTACAGATCAAAATATTATTGTATATAATATATTCATTATACATTTTTTTAACTACTATGTCCATTATATTTCGAATCAGAGCTACCTACTGACTTTCAATTAATTTACATGCTGTATGTATATTATATTTATTTATTGACATTACATATATTTTTTTATTCAAGAAGTCTCGTAATGATATAAACATAATTAATATTAATAAACATTAATTATTTATAATAATTTATATATTTTTCATGTCACAAATAATACCAAATTTGTGATAGCCTACATAGTATTTTTATAATTTAATTTATTTTTTAACAGGTTTATGGCAACTGGAAAATCTTTTCGGTCCCTAGCTTTTGCTTTTCGCATCTCCCAAAGTTATATTACACGTATTGTGAGACTAGTATTGAAAAGTTTGAGCAATCGATTGACACCCATATTATTACCACCACCAACCAAAAATGACATGGTAGAAATATCGAAAGAGTTTTGGGAAAAATGGAATTTTCCGAATTGTGCAGGTGCTATTGATTGCAAACATATTCGTATTTTTTCTCCAAAAAATAGCGGATCATTGTTTTTTAACTATAAAGATTTTTTTCAATTGTTTTGTTAGCGATTGTAGATGCTAACTGTAAGTTTATTTATGTAGACATTGGATCTTATGGCAAAGAGGGTGATAGCTGTATATTTACAAAATCAAAAATCTCAGAAAAAATGAAAAATGGTGATTATTTTCCTCCTAATGCTAAAGTTCCAAATTCAGACAAAATATTGCCATATGTTTTCATTGGCGATGAAGCTTTTCGTTTAGACCCTCATATGATGCGACCATACTCGAAAATTGAATCCAGAAATGATAGTGAGAAAAAAATTTTTAATTATCGTCTTTCACGGGCAAGAAGAACTACTGAAAATAGTTTTGGACTTCTGAGTCAGGTGTTTAGAGTTTTTTACACCCCTATTCCACTAAAAACACAAACTTTTGATCATCTTGTGTTATCTGCGTGCTGCCTTCATAATCTTTTACGTAATCAATTTAAAATAAAGAATACAACAGAACGATACTATACATATAATTATGACCCAAATGATTCTCCTCCGAACAATATGATTCAACTTGAGCGTACGGGAGGTTATGGTAATTATGAAGGCTTTATAGTAAGAGATGAGTTCAAACAGTTTTCAATTCCCCACAAGGTACAGTCCCATGGCAAAATTATCAAACTTTAAGAACAGATACTTCATAAAAACGATAATATTATGTTACGTCTTATGTTTAACAGAAAAATATTTTTATAAATTATTTAAGCATTAATTATTATTTTTTAAATATGTTTTATAACTTAATATCAAAGTACCTATTGATTATATTTTAACTTTAATGCCTATATTGAATTTTAAATTCCGTTTCATTATTAATTTTGTATAACATTACGTTTATATTAATTTTAATTTAATTTTAAAAATGTACTTTCTCAATTTGGCAATGTATAGTATAGAAAGAATAGTATGTAAGAATAAATTATAGTATAATATAATATAATATAAGTGTAATATACTATTTAATAATAATAATATAATATTTTTATCAGTTTTTTTTCAAACTTGATATCATTTAAAATGTAATGAAGTGTATAATTAATATGATAATATTGATAATATTCATGTCGCGTGAATACCTACCATGGTTTTGTTATTTATAAATAACTGATATTTTTTATGCTTTCCTATTTTGATACTTAAATTGTTATCAATTGTTTACTTTTACAAAACTAAAATAGTTTTATGAATATTATTATTTTTTTAAAAATATAATGACCAACTGTGCATATCATTATCAAACGTTTTGGTATGCATGCAACAAATGACTAAATAGCTTGGTCACTTTTTGCTAGAAAAATAGTTTCTAGAAATCTGCAGTTGGTCAAAACTGTTTTTCTGTATCTCGTAAAATATTGATCATATCACTAGGTCATTTTTTTCGTACTATAGTATGGTTCAAATAAAACATTTCATAATGTTATTTCACTTGGTCACTTTATGCATGTAGTCAGTTTTTGCATGACGACGACGATATAATAAAATATAATATAGTATTAAAAATACTAATAATATAATATAATTTAATAATAATACCTGGCTTGTTCACTGCATTTGAAATTTCTTTCCACACATTTTCCCTTACTGTTTGGTCCTTATATAAAGTATGTTTAAAATCATACAGGCAAGGGTGGTATCCTACAAGTTCTGCCAGCGTTTTATCATCTTCAGATGAAAATGTAATTTTTGAAGACATTTTTATACAATATTATAATATTATGTAGATATTTTAAAACCCGTGCGCGACCGCGTCTCAAACTCTCAACTGCCTCTGGCGCGGTCACAGCCGCGCGGCGGTCGCACGCGTCAGCCGCGTTCTAAGGAATCGGCTACATATAAAAATAGCAAAAGAAGTCCAAGCGCGGCTAAAATTAGAGTCGCGTCGCGTCTAGTGACGCGCGACCGGCGCGGCTGACGCGGCGCGATTCTATTTTTGGTCGCGTCGGGACTTCTTTGCCTATTTTTAAATGTAGCCGATTCCCTACAAGTACAACGCGTCTGCCGCGCGCGACTGTCATGCGCGTCTACAGCCGCGCGACTCTGACCGCTTCAGAGGCAGTCGAGACGCGGTCGCGCACTTGTTTTAAAATATATTCTTATTATAATATTGTATAAAAATTAAAAATGTCTTCAAAAATTATATTTTCATCTGAAGATGATAAAACACTAGCAGAACTTGTAGGGTACCACCCTTGTCTATATGATTTAAAACATACTTTATATAAGGACCAAACAATTAGGGAAAATGTGTGGAAACAGATTTCAAGTGAAGTGAACAAGCCAGGTATTATTAAATTATGTTATATTATATTTGATTATAATATTATTATGACGAAAGTATATTAGTATATTACACTTAATATATAATATAATATTTTATTATATTATTATTATTAAATAGTATATTACTCTTATATTATATTATATTATATTATACTATAATTTATTCTTTCATACTATTTTTTCTATACTATACATTGAGAACGTACATTTTTAAAATTAAATTAAAATTAATAAAAACGTAATGCTATACAAAATTAATAATCAAACTGAATTTATAACTAAATATAGTCATTAAAGATAAAATATAATCAAGAGGTTAATAGGTACTTTGATATAAAAAACATATTTAAAAAATAATAATTAATACAAATATTGTTCTGTTAAACATAAGACATAACATAATATTAGGTATCGTTTTTATGAAGTATCTGTTCTTAAAGTATGATAATTTTGCCATGGGACTGTACCTTGTGGGGAATTGAAAAATTGTTTAAACTCATCTCTTACCATAAAAGAGTCGCGTCGCGTCTAGTGACGCGCGACCGGCGCGGCTGACGCGGCGCGATTCTATTTTTGGTCGCGTCGGGACTTCTTTGCCTATTTTTAAATGTAGCCGATTCCCTACAAGTACAACGCGTCTGCCGCGCGCGACTGTCATGCGCGTCTACAGCCGCGCGACTCTGACCGCTTCAGAGGCAGTCGAGACGCGGTCGCGCACTTGTTTTAAAATATATTCTTATTATAATATTGTATAAAAATTAAAAATGTCTTCAAAAATTATATTTTCATCTGAAGATGATAAAACACTAGCAGAACTTGTAGGGTACCACCCTTGTCTATATGATTTAAAACATACTTTATATAAGGACCAAACAATTAGGGAAAATGTGTGGAAACAGATTTCAAGTGAAGTGAACAAGCCAGGTATTATTAAATTATGTTATATTATATTTGATTATAATATTATTATGACGAAAGTATATTAGTATATTACACTTAATATATAATATAATATTTTATTATATTATTATTATTAAATAGTATATTACTCTTATATTATATTATATTATATTATACTATAATTTATTCTTTCATACTATTTTTTCTATACTATACATTGAGAACGTACATTTTTAAAATTAAATTAAAATTAATATAAACGTAATGCTATACAAAATTAATAATCAAACTGAATTTATAACTAAATATAGTCATTAAAGATAAAATATAATCAAGAGGTTAATAGGTACTTTGATATAAAAAACATATTTAAAAAATAATAATTAATACAAATATTGTTCTGTTAAACATAAGACATAACATAATATTAGGTATCGTTTTTATGAAGTATCTGTTCTTAAAGTATGATAATTTTGCCATGGGACTGTACCTTGTGGGGAATTGAAAAATTGTTTAAACTCATCTCTTACCATAAAGCCTTCATAATTACCATAACCTCCCGTACGCTCAAGTTGAATCATATTGTTCGGAGGAGAATCATTTGGATCATAATTATATGTATAGTATCGTTCTGTTGTATTCTTTATTTTATATTGGTTACGTAAAAGATTATGTAGGCAGCACGCAGATAACACAAGATGATCAACAGTTTGTGTTTTTAGTGGAATAGGGGTGTAAAAAACTCTAAACACCTGACTCAGCAGTCCAAAACTATTTTCAGTAGTTCTTCTTGCCCGTGAAAGACGATAATTAAAAATTTTTTTCTCACTATCATTTCTGGATTCAATTTTCGAGTATGGTCGCATCATATGAGGGTCTAAACGAAAAGCTTCATCGCCAATGAAAACATATGGCAATATTTTGTCTGAATTTGGAACTTTAGCATTAGGTGGAAAATAATCACCATTTTTCATTTTTTCTGAGATTTTTGATTTTGTGAATATACCGCTATCACCCTCTTTGCCATAAGATCCGATGTCTACATAAATAAACTTACAGTTAGCATCTACAATCGCTAACAAAACAATTGAAAAAAAATCTTTATAGTTGAAAAACAATGATCCGCTATTCTTTGGTGAAAAAATACGAATATGTTTGCCATCAATGGCACCTGCACAATTCGGAAAATTCCATTTTTCCCAAAACTCTTTCGATATTTCTACCATGTCATTTTTGGTTGGTGGTGGTAATAATATGGGTGTCAATCGATTGCTCAAACTTTTCAATACTAGTCTCACAATACGCGTAATATAACTTTGGGAGATGCGAAAAGCAAAAGCTAGGGATCGAAAAGATTCTCCAGTCGCCATAAACCTGTTGAAAAAAAATTAAATTATAAAAATACTTGAATTTATTGACAGCAATAAATATATAATATAAAATAATATATAATAATGTTATTGTGGGTACCATTCTGCTGTACATTAGGCAAGGCTGGGCATTAACGAGTTAAAAAGTTAATTTTGTTTTAACTTTTTAACTTAACTAATTACTTTTGGATTAAAAATTATACTCGTAAAAAATATGTATTGAAATTTAAAATTTGTTATAATTATTTATTTTCATTTTTGCTAAAATCATTTATTTATATTTTTGTTATTACTATTTACTACTATTTATAA